ACATTCTTCTGAGCTGGGTACATCTCTTTCAAAATTGGCTGTACAGTTTTAGGTTGACAGATGAATTATTATGCTTGTACAATCTTTTGCTCATTATAAACTCTATAAGACATAAAATTAAATGAGGTTTTAACGTTTAAAAAAGATCTCCATTTCGTTATTAAAATATACAGTTTCATCCAGAAAAATTCATTTTAAGGCAATTAACATTGAGACATTTTCACATGCATTTCTAATCTCTCTATATATGACTATTACTGGTCACAGTCGCTTACTATCTGAGTTCCTTGGCATGTGAGTATGAACATAAACTCAGATAGACAGCCTTCCTCTCCCACTAGAGACTCCATACTCTGTCATCCCTGTCACTGTCCACTGTGTTGTCAGCACCCTCATCCATTCCCCCCTGTCTGCCCTTCTGGTAAATCTAGTCAGCCAGAGGTCCCTGTTCCAGGAGGGTCAGCTGTTCCTCATCTACAGCAATCCATTGTCAGTATTCCTTTGGATAGAATTGGTGTCTTCTGTTCATTTTTCCTGTAGTATGTTGGGTTACTGTCTGGAAGAGCCTTTATCTATCCTAGCCAACAACTTGACTGAAGGTATCGCCTATCTGGCTTTGTTGTTTGTCGAGTAACTTTTAGTTATGTATATGTATGCTCTTATGTTATTATGTTGGCCCCTTTAATCTATCCAGCCCCCTTAAGTTGTTTTTTAAAAAATATTTTATTTAGCCAGGCGTAGGTGGCACATGCCTTTAATCCCAGCACTTGGGAGGCAGAGGCAGGCAGATCTCTGTGAGTTTGAACCCAGGTCTTCTGCAAGAACAACCAGTGTTCTTAACTGCTGTGCCGTCTCTCCAGCCTCGTTTTTTAAATTTTTAAATAGTTTATTTATTATATTTTATTTTATGTGTATGTATGTGTTGCCTGCATGTAGGTAAATGCACTCGTGTTATGCAATGCCCGGAGAACAGAAGAGGCTGTCAGATCTCCTGGAACTGGAGTTACAGATAGTTGTTAGCTGCCATGTGGGTGCTAGAATTTGAACCTGGGTCTTCTGCAAGAACAGCCAGTGTTCTTAAGCCATCTCTCCAGCCCCCATCAGATAAAATGTTTTTAGGTATTTGTTTATATATTTATGTTTTAGCTTCTATAAAACTGGCTAGGCATACAGGAAAGCAAACAATTGTTTTGGAAGTTTTTATTTTATTTGTTTTTTTCATTTTATTTATTTTTGTCTTTTTGAGACAGGGTCTCCCAGTAACCCCAGCTGGCCTGGAACTCACTATGTAAACCAGGCTGGCCTTGAACTCACAGAGATCTGCCTGCCTCTGTCTCCCCAGTGCTGGGATTAAAGGTGCGCGCCACCACACCCAGATGTTTTGGAAGTTTTTAAACAAACTTTGGAGTCTGACCCTGCTGTGTGATTCTGGAGTAAAGGAGTTTAATGCAGAGCATGGGTTGTGATCCTCCTGCATCAGCCTCTCGAGTGCTGAGACTATAGGTGTGTGCCACCATGCCCAGCAAGATCTGGTAAGAATTTTTTACTATAGACAAATAATTTCATATCCCTGTATAGTATATCAGGGTTGGCTGAGTGATGTAGTGGGAGGAGAAGATCTTTGGACAGAGTTCACTGTCTAGTGACTTATTTATTTTTGAGACAGACTCTCATATAGCCCATGGTGGATTTGAACTCTGTATTCTCCTGCCCCCATCACCCAAATGCTGGGATTACAGGTGTTTGGATGTAAATCACCACTCCCAAACAACAAGAAGAAAAATTTTATTACTCTGACAAATTCCAGAGAGAAAACAAGTTCTCTGCCCTCAGAGAACAGCACCATTTTGCTTTCTCACATGTAAAATGTGAGAGTAACACCTTCTCTATATTCTGCAGTATTGGAGTGATCCGTGGTTCTGGTAGGAATATTGTATTCCTTGGGAGTGCTGATTGGAATGAAGACGGAAAGCTGTTTATCTAGTTCCAGCTCTCCATTTGTAGGTGACAGAGCAGGGCTCAAAACTGAAAATTCCAGTTCTCAGTTCACTTACCATTCACAATGTCCTCAAGATCATTTGTGCCTTTCCCTTTCCCCTTCCTTTCTCTTCCCACTCCCTCTTCTTTCTTTCCTGTGTGTCTTGGTGCACATGTAGATATCGGAGGACAAGTTGCAGGAGTTTTCTCCTTCCTTCCTGTGGGTCCTGGGTATTGAACTTAGTTCATTAGACTTTGGCAAAGGCTTTAACGCTGAACACATTTGTGCTTTTGAAAACTTTTCCTCTCCCTCAGTGCTCCAGACCCTTTTAAACACATTCTTTTGCTCAAACTAGGTTTTTCCTTATGCAATCCACAAATTCCATGTCCCATCTTGAAATCCAGTCTTTAAGTGACTCTCACATGCCACCTCTTCTAGAAGGTCCTGGTTTCTCAATTCAGTGAGGTCTCTTTCTTTGGAAATTTCATAGCACTTTGTAGTTTATTATTACAATTCTTTAATCTGTGGGAGTTTCTTTCCACTTTAGATTATAAAATGTATCCCTTGCTTTTTTTTTTTCCTTATCTCCATGGTGCTTTGCACAATGTAACAGAGCTGATAATCTTTAATTTGAATTCAATTCTTGACAGTGGAATGGCAACATTATAACAATAACATCTGACCAACTACCAGACAATGTTATTGTAATGAGGCAACAAATGTGAACCAAATTTTGACAAAAACTATTTATTTTTAGGGTTTTTTTTTTCCAGACAAGGTCTCACTCTATGAAGCCCTGGCTAGCCTGGAACTCTGTAGACCAGGTAGCCTAGAATTTACAGAGATCAGCCTACCTCTTCCTCCCAGAGCTGGGACTAAAGGTGTGTGTCACCATAGCTAAATCCTTTTCTTTTTCAGAGCAGAATAGTTCAAGCTGATCTCCACATACTATGTAGCTTAGGCCTGCTTTGGACTCTTAGTAATCCTCCTCCCTCAGTCACCCAGGTGCTGAGATTACAGGTGTAACCTACTATACCCAGTTCAATTATGATAATTTTTAAAGAAGGTGCATCAAAGAGGGTGACCAGCTGGAAAGCAGTATGGGAGTTGCTTTACATGTAAAATAGTTGGGAAGATGATTTTTCATTGCTTTTTCTTTTTTGGTCTGGAGACTCCCAGTGCTGGAGGACATAACTGTTTTCAATTTTCTAAAGGGCTGTCAAGTGGGAAACTGCTTTGCTCTAGGCAGCATAACTACTAGCAAAGGAGGAAGGGAGTACTAAGGTAGCAGATTTCAGCTCAGCGGGAGGCAGAACTTTCTAAGATATAGAGCTGTCCGACAGTGGAGCAGGCTGTACTCCTTAAGGTGTGAGCTGCCTGAAATTGGAGCTGTGGAAACCGAAGACAGGCCACCAGCCTGAGGGTGGAAGAGGGAATTCCCATCTGGGCAGGGAGCTTCACTAATGACCTTTAAGGAATGTTCTGATGTTTCTACAACTGTTCACTCCTGCTAACTTGACTTGTGACTATATGTGTCGTTTTGTTAACAAAATGATTAAACCTATTTAATGTAACTGTATGGTTAGTTACAATAGTGAAAAATGCAGATACCACCAAAACCAATTGACACCGTTTTTAATTGAAAGGGACGAGAGCCAGCGAGAGAGAGACAGACAGACAGAGACAGAGAGAGAGATCATTTGAAGAGAGCTCGAGTCATTTGAGGGGGAGAGAATCATTTGAAGAGAGAATCGTTCCAGGAGAGCGAGCGAGAGATATTTGCATGAAGTACTGGGCAAGAGAGTCCCACGTCCCCGCCCAGCAGGGTGCTTAGGCCTCAGCTTAGGGAGACGGAGGTGACGGCTGAGGCTCGGCGATCGGGGCGATCGGGGCTCGGCGATCAGGTCTCAGCGACGCGACTCCGGGCTGGAGCGGAAGGGCGGCCGGCCGCCGGACCACCGATCCCAGGGGCCCCCGCGGCGCCGCGCACGCGCGCTGGGAGGGGGCAGCGCCGCCGCAGGAGGCAGGGAAGCTGGCGAGCTGCGGCGGCGGCAAGGCAGCGGTGGTAGTTCGCTGCGAGGGCGACGGCTCGAGGCCGAGTGGCCGTCCGGCAGGGACCTGGGCGCCCTCTCTCGCAGGACCTTGTCGGTGAGTGTGCGTCCCCGGCCGGCCCGCGCCCTGTGCGCGGCTCGGAGCTCCACCCCGGCCGTCCCGGCCTAGGGCCACAGCCCGCGCCCGACGGCC